AGCAAAATGTCGGTTTATATGCAGAAGATGTGGGGGGGTGGGGCCGTGCGGGAATCAGAAGTAAACGATAGGTGGGGATTGAGCCCAAAGAGACACAAGAGCAGTTGGACAGACAAAGGAGTTGATAACGATCCGGCTGGGAGGGTGAACAGCTGTTAATAGACACTGCTAGTGGCTAACCACAGGTAGTGTGCAATGGCAGGCTACATGATAATAAGGCTTCATGTGTGGGGTAGGGGGCTAGGACATGGGAGAGTTTAGGCCCTAAAATTATTGAGCTCGATATTGAGTATGGAGGGCTGCAGGGGCCTTAAGTAGAAAATGAGGCGTTGTTCTTTCAGCTTGCACTGACCTTCACTGGAACACTGCAGCAAGCCTGAGACAGAGATGTTGGCCAGGGAACTGAGTGGTGTGTTAAACTGGCAGGTAACTGGAAGCTCAGGGTCTTTTCTGCAGGCAGAACATAGATGTTACCTAGTTGATGCTTCATTTCCCCAATGTAGAGGAGACCACATTGTGAGGTCAGTACGCCAGACTAAAACAGCACCACCCTTTTCAGCAGGCTTAATAACAAATTCAGAGTTGGATCTAAATGTACGGAGTGCAGTCAGTTTGGAGGGAGATAGGTTGGATTGGATGAGGGGGCCAGAGAAATTGAGGCGACCAATGTCACATGGCTTATAATTTCTCTGCCTTCTTGAATTCCTTACTGTCTCTCCTAATTTTGGCTGTTCACCTCATCCTACTGACCCTTCTCTCAGGAATCCACCCCCTGTCAAGTTAATTTAAACCCTCACCAACAGTCCGAGCAAACCTCTCCGCAAGGATGCTGATCCCATATTCTGGTTCAGGCGTAACCCTTCCACCTTGTACAGATTTCAGCACCCCCAAAAATGATTTCAATGTCCCAGAAATCTAAAGCCTTCCCTTCCTTGCCATCTTCCAGCTACATACTGGGCTAACCTTATAAGAAATAGGAGCAGAAATTAGGCCATTCAACCCATCGAGTCCGCTCTGCCATTCAATCATGGCTGATAAGTTTCTCATCCTCATTCTCCCCGTAACCCTTGATCCTCTTGAACCCCATATTTCTATACGCACTAACATGCGGCACCATGAATAATCCAGAGATTAGTTTTTGGGTCTTGTTCTTTAACCTACTTCCTAGCTCCTGAATAAAAACCAAAAGAACTGCGGATGCAGTAAATCAGGAACAAAAACAAAGTTGCTGGAAAAGCTCAGCAGATCTGGCAGCATCTGTGGAGCGGAAAACAGAGTTAACGTTTCAGGTCCGGTGACCCTTCCTCAGAACTGACGGTGGCTGGGAAAACGTCAGTTTATATGCAGAAAATAGGGAGGTGGGTCGGGTAGGGAGTAAACGATAGGTTAGATACCAATGAGAGAGAAAGACAGTTGGACAGACAAAGGAGTTGCTAACGATCAGGCTGGGAGGGTGAATAGTTGTTAATGGGGATTGTTAGTGACTAACAGGGGGTGTGTAGTGGCATCTTGCTGGAGGTGGCAGAAATGGCATCTGATGATCTTCTGGATGTGGATGCTGGTAGGTGAAGATAAGGGGAACTCTATCACTGTTGCAGGAGGGAAGAGAAGGGGTGAGGGCAGAAGTGCGGGAGATGGGTCGGACCCGATTGAGGGCCCTGTCGACAACGGAGCTGGGGAATCCTCGGTTGATGAAGAACGTGGACATTTCGGAGGCTCCCTTGTCGAAGTTGGCCTCATCTGAACATATGCGATGGAGACGGAGGAACTGAGAGAATGGGATGGAGTATTTACAGGAAGTGGGGTGTGAGGATGTATAGTCCAGGTCGCTGTGGGAGTCAGTGGGTTTGTAATGGATGTCAGTGGCCAGTCTATCCCCAGAAATGGAAAAAGAAATGTCGAGGAAGGGAAGGGAGGAGTCAGAGATAGACCAGGTGAAAGTAAGGGCTTGATGAAGTTTTCCAATTCTCGACGAGAGAGGGAAGCAGCACCGATGATATCATCCATGTATCGAAGAAAGACTTGTGGGTGGGGGCCAGAATAGGACTGGAACAAGGGATGTTCCACGTACCCCACGAAGAAACAGGCATAACTAGGGCCCATGCGGGTACCCATGGCAACCCCTCTTACCTGAAGAAAATGAGAGGAGTTGAAAGAGAAGTTGTTGAGGGCCTCTTTGTTTTTGTTCCTAGCTCCTGAAATTCTGCTTGCAAGATCTCATCACTTCTCCTACCTATGCCATTGCTACCATCTCACTCCTAGTTTGTGCCTTTTCTATGACAGCCAGACCTTGGAATATCAAGAGGTGTGTTACTTGCTACAGGATTTCAATATTCTAACCTATTGTTTTGTACACTGTATTTACAAAACTAGTCTAACTCAGTTTCTGATTAGTAGTAACCCCCACAATGTTGATAGTGGGGAATTCAGTGATGGCAATACCTCTGACTATCAAGGGCAATAGTTAGATTGTCTCTTGCTGGAGACAGTTATTTCCTAGTACTAATGTAGCACAAATATTACTTGCCACTTGTAAGCCCAAACCTGGATATGAAGCAAGCAGGTCTTGCTGCATTTGAACATGGACTGCTTTAGTATTTGTGAAGTGAATGGTGTGGAACATTAGACAAACATCGTCACCTTATGATGGAAGTATGGCTATTGTTGAAGCAGCGAAAGACTAGTGCTTAGGACACTAGGCTAACCCTGTATTCGGCAGCCACAACTGAATCCCATTTATTTTGCTGCAGAATAATTAAGCATTAAGATACATGATAGAGTCAACAACAATGATATAACAGAAAGATCCACAGGAAAAACAGGCACAACTCAAATGTGTTTAAGAGGAACTGCACCAAAATACATCTCTGGCAAATCAATATAAATTCAAGTGCCAATTTCAGACTAGTCAGGGTGACGAGCGGATGACAGAAACACAGACTGAATTTTACTGGGTGCCAGGATCAGCTGTCCTTTACAAGAGTCTAGGTATTAGATCCTATCCACAAACCAGATGGCTGCCCATAGCAATTTAACACTGAGGAGGGATTAGGTCAGACTGATGTTCATTTCTCAAAGATGTGCTTCCTTATAAGGTGCTGGCTGAAAGGGTGGTCACATCTTAATTGTCCTAACAGTATCAGACAGGAGTAGACATTGCAGTTTCTGATGGGTAAGGAGCCCAGACTGGCAAGCAAATTTGGGAATCTTGGTGAGCGGTGGGGCACAGTCAGGTTCAAGTGCTTGCCAGGAGGGTTTTGGGGGTAATGACTAGGAGAGGCACTGACCTTTGGCAGGGTACATCTAAGTGCCCAGTGGCTCACAAAGTATGTCCACCCTAACCCCCTTTCCTGAGGGGGTTAATGCCAATGCAAAGATGCCAGGTTTCCATACCCCCTAAACAATAGTTTTATACTTGGCAATAATTGATCATTTTAGACCTCCAATAGGCCAAGGCAAGGCAGATCATTCTGCTCCTTTGCCAGTACCCAGAAAATTTCAGAGAGGAATGGGACAAGCAGGTTCACTTGTTAGATTTTTTTTTGTGCCCCATCCCACCTTCAGCCCACACTTTCAAGAGCTCCCTAGTGGTGGCAACTGTTTGATTTAGAATAAGTTGAACAAAATATGCTCCAACTGTGAAGAACTTCGTATAAACAATTTTATTAATTGCATAATTACTTTCCTATTTAGTTTCATTTTTCAGCTATTAAGAATATTTACTTTGTCACACCTCTACTCCAACAACTCAATGTCAACTTCCAAAATTCTGCTTACGTTTGAATTAATTTGATCTATAGTCTACTGGAGAATAAACAGCAGGGTATCACAGAAGAAACAATCCCTGGGAAATGCCAATTGGTTCGGTTGGAAGAAAATATACTTTGAAAAATACTAACAGTTGCATGACATGCTTGAGTCTAGGGCCTGGGGTCTTTAATGCTAACTCTGCATTTCTTTTCCTCAGTAAGATATCATATGCATTTCATGCAAAAGCCATGAAATTTAACTAGAGTACAGGACTGAAGCAGGTCATTCAGCTGAACGGGCTGGGTTTGTGCCCCACGCCTTCATCTCTCCTCCACTCATCATCAGATCCTATTAGCAGAACCTCTCATTCCTCAATTACTCATCCAGCCTGAAAGGGGAGGCATCTGTACTACCTACCTCAAATACACTATGTAGGATTGAGTACCACATTCTAATCGTTGATTCTATCGTTGCTAAACACCAAATCATTCATGCTCTGTTGAAATTTCACCAAACTCTGTGAATGGTCCCTAAGGTTTACATAAATCATGTATTGCAAATCAATTTTAGTTAGGATTTTAGGAATAAAAAAAGTTTGCATTGGAGGTAATGGCAACCATTTAGTACATTTGAAGATCACATAACTTAGTTGACCATATTAGCATTGTTGGTACTTAATTTGTGAATGCATTAATTAGAGGTATTTAAAAACTTAATTCACAACTTCTTTCAAGATTTTCTTTTCTTATGTTTGCAATCAGTTTTGAATTTGTCTACGTTCTGGGTATTAACCAGCAAGTGGCCCAGCCCAAGCAACTGAATTGAAGCGAGACTTCTGTATCTGGAGTTACAAGTACCCTTCTTAAAAACAGGGAGAAATCAATTCTAAACAAAAACAAATTGCTGGAAAAGCTCAGCAGGTATGGCAGCATCTGTGAAGCGAAATCAGAGTTAAAGTTTCAGGTCCAGTGACCCTTCCTCAGAACAATTATAGCCTGGCTCCAATCCATCGTCACTGCCAGCATCCAAGTGCATTTTCATACTTCAAGTATCTCGTCTCCTTATGGTACTGAGATATACCATCTGTCACAACATATTTGGTTTAAGCACTAAATGTGTGGTACAACTTCAGCCTTATTTGCAAGGAAGTCAATTTTATGTAGATATAGCAAGTTTGGATTATGCTGTAAAAATACAGAGCGTGCATTCTTAGATAAGTTGCATGTAAATCACTAGCAGCTTACCACCCATCAAATTCAATGGCAGTTATTATTAGCAACATATGCTAGGTTTGCCGGTAAGGCAAGCATGCACATTCTATAAACATAGAAAAAGATTACAAGCACTCGATCTTTAAATTTGAACACCAAAACAAAGTAAAGCTCCAAGTAACTACAAAAATTTATTACATTTACATAAATAAAACTATTAAACAACTTTATGTTGTGCAAATGAATGTCAATAGTTTTCCAACAATAGTTTAAAGAACAGTCAGGGCTGGATTCCTAATATTGCAACAAGACTGGACCAATTCATCCCCACCAACTATTAGTTATACTGAAATTTCATTTGCACTGCATGTAGAAAAGCTTTAATGATGAGTTGTTGTAATATTTGTCTAGTTAGACCTTCATCAGGAGCTTATCAAAAATCAGGTTTATAAATCAAGTAATTGAGACACATGGACCTTTAAAGCTGGGTGCAATTCCCTAGTCTGTGCAAAGTTGTAATTTGAGTTAGGATAATACAATTAGCTTCCATTCCCAAAAATCTGAAAAGGAAAACTGGTTAAGATTTTTTATCACTGATATTCAGATAGCAATGTGTGGACTGTCAGGCTCAGCTGTTATATTTCAAAACTGAATAGCTGGATGTTCACTGCTGATTCATACAAAAATACATGGACTTCAAATGACTGGCCACAGAACAAATGTTCATAAACTCCAACTATCTGCATTGCTCCACGTTGACCCGAGGTCACACATTGCAAGAGCTCACCACGTCGTTTCAGTTGGAGGGATTTCTTCAAGGAAGACAACTGGAAAACTACAAACTTAAATGCCATTCATTGGATGTGCAGATCCAGAAGCTTTTAGTCATTATGTTGTAATGAGTTATTTTTAACTAGACACAAAAGACTAAGCCCAATGCAAGATCTCGGATAAACAAGTGGAAATGATAAGCTTTATGGGATAAGTACAAGTGAATATAAATAAAACAAAAACACTTATGTTTCCTCACCAAGACATTTTAAGCAAAGCCTGGGTTAAAAATGGAAGTGGAGGTGTACCACTTTATCATCTCACTCTTGGCTCTCCCCAAAATGAAACTTTATTCACATGCGTTCCTTAGAAAGGAAAGGAAAGGAAAGGGGAATGACCCTTCCAGCAGCATAATGTTGATTGCACCTTTCGTTGGAGGTATAGTCTTGATAGAGCAAGCTGCTAAATTCTCATTATTTCCGTGGCAAAAAGGAGAATTATTATTTGCATGAAATACAACTTGGCAAATGGGAGTGAAATTTGACTTACATTAAGTTAATTCTAAATGATACTCAAAGTAGGGATTTAACCAAAAGCTCACTTAACATTCTGACTTAAACGTGGTATATGGTTAAAAAAAAGATTCACTTCTGGGAAACTGGTTTTCTTGCCAATTAAGGAATAAGTGGATTTTGTTTCAAAAGATCTACAACCAAATATTGCAAGAGCATATTCAGCATGTTCTTAAACCTAGTGGCTGCTCCATTCTTCCAGGTGCAGATTTGAAAGAGATTTACTAAACATTAGATTACAACCTATGTAAATACAGGAATCCTGACAGTATGCAATTGGAAGACCCACATTGAACCATTTTCACATCTAACCCACTAACCTGGGCTTAAAATAAAGTCAAATTCAATGTAATGAAGCTTTAATTGGCTATCCCAAAATTTAGAGTGGAACATTGTCCAGTTATGCTGGTTGGCACATTATCACCACTTGAAATTTCCACATGTTGCAGTATAGAAGGGATGTTTGAGATAGAAATCAGTTTGTCATTCTCTTATTGATTAAGTAATCTTTTAGTAATCATGAAGACAAACAGTAGAAGCAGCAAAATAGAAACAAATTTCAGTAGCTTCGGGAAGGGAAGAACATTTTCCAAAAGTACAAACATAGCAGTTTTAATGAAGTAATTAGTTAAATATCTAAATTAAAACACCTTTTGCATTTTTTTTTTAAAAAGATGCAAGCCCAGATGCTACAGAAATATTTATTTGAAGCCAGCATCTGAAAGGGAAATTTTCATGGCGTAATGTACCAACTTTCTGAAAAGTGTAATGGCACAACCATATCATCACTTGCAAACCAAAATTGCATGACATAGCAGTGTTTTAGTCTATAGGCAGCTCCCACACAAAAACACACTCAAAACGACTTGTAACAATTCACGTTATAGCAAGAACATGAACTTGGAGTGGGCTGTAGGGTGTAGCTGGGCGGAAAGACATCATGGGGCGGGGAGGGGGGAGTTTGTTTAATCAAAGTTGTTAACCACCTATTTAGCACGTTGAACGGTCATAGTTCTAAAGGTTGCCAAATTCTTTCACACATCTAGACTGATGCTGTTATGCACTTGTGGATCTATGATTGGCATTACCAAATCTAACACTGAAAGGGGTATCACGGTCCTGCTCAATTTCCCCATTCCTGTACATGGGGAACCCAAAAAGCATAAAACAAAATGACTTTCAAATATATAAATTTCCTATTCTTGCAAGAGGCATTATGTCAAAAGGATATACATTTTTAAACTTTGAAAAGACAAGAATACATGAATAGCTTCTGATAAAGTGAAGATTAATTTCAGGAAGTAACATTAACAATGCCACATTCACATTGTGCAAAAAAATTTGTCAACAGACATGGGTAAATTTAAAGCTTCATTACAGAATAGATGAGGCCAGAGTTTTCCATAGGAAACATACAAGTATTTACAGAATGTCCTTGGACTACAAAGTTAAGGGCCTGGTGTATTTGGCCCAGGTGTCCTTTTATCCGTTATTTTGAAATAATTCTTCCCTTTTTCTGGTATGCTGCTGAACATGGTTGAAATGGGAACATCAGCAATTCCTGAAACAAAGTGCCATGGTTATATAACAGAAGTCTGCCGCAAGTCTTCCATCAAACGCGAACTTCAGACATTCTATAAATTTTTGCCCAGTTACCTCTAATCTGAAAAGGTGCAGAGCAAACTACAAGCAAGCATTTTATCAATTTAAAAATCTTGGAGGTTTTCATTACCAACAAGTAGTGAATAAACTAAAATCAGCAGAGTATTAACACAAAAACCACTCCTTAAAAGCAGACAGTATCTCTTGCAAGCAATCCAGAAATTTAGATCCTGTAAGTGCATCCCCAGCCTTACAAAAAAAAAAAAGACTGCGTACAGTTCTGGGTGCCACACTTCAGAAAGAGTACAAACAGAAGAGATTTTGAAGGATGTTTCTGGGGTTGAAAGACCTCAGTTTGGAAAATAGACTGGAGAAATTGGGAATATTTTCCTTGAAGAGGAGAAGGCCAAGATGAGATTTGATAGAAGTTTTCAAAAAAAAAAATCAGAAGGGATTTGGACAGAGGCAGTGAGAACTGTTGCCATCTGTAAAGAGATCAAGGAAGAAAGGGCAAAAATTTAAAGTAATTTACAAAAGAAGCACATGTGAAGAGAGGAAAAAAAACTTCCACAAAGTGAGCAGTCAGGATCTGAAAAGCACTGCTTTGGAATGTGGTGGATGCATCAAAAGGACAGGAGTTAATCAGGTGCATTGAAATATTGTATAGATTTATGGGGGGGGG